TTGTTAAACGATATAAGTAATACGTACATTAATCAAAGCAGCTTTGAAATATTTATGGCCTAATTATTGCGAAGTGTCAAAACTGCTATAATTACGAGTTAATTATAACTTTGATGACTCGAAATTCGCGGACATAAAACGTGTTCCGTAATTGGTAGCGGCGGGTCTCGAACCCTTGCACCTTGTGTATAAATCATAATTGAGACTTTAGTCTACTGCTGGTGCCTGTGTCACCTGTTTCGCTTGGCCAAGCGTGGGTGGTATTGCCTACAATAATGTTTGGGTTGGCATTCGTCACGGGGCGTCACTCCGGGAGCAAACGCCATGATTGATGACCCCTGCCTCACAAAGCGTAGCTACGTAAAATATGCATTACTCGAGTGTACTTAACAACTGGAACCTTTTTAGGTTTCCAAAAAAGTAATACCAAAAAGAAACTCGCTCTATAAAAAGACAAATCCTTATATTGTTACTGATTTTAATATGACATTGGTCGTGGTTACTGTGATAAATATAAAAAAAACACGGATATGAATTAGTTTGCACGTCGCCGTCCGTAGTGGTGTAGTTTTAAAAAATATATAATATGATGCCCAACATACCTTTTCTATGTGGACGAGATCGCAAGCACAGCTAGTGAATAACTTGAAACCAAGTTTACATATCATACTTTGTACGACATCTGTAGATACAAACCGTAAGAAAGAGCGTAATGAATGAGATATAATATCTTTAGAAGACGTAACTTCTAGTTCCTATAGGCAACATGATACGTTATCGAAGTTATAAAGTAATTTTTATAGCGCCATAGACCGTAAACCGTTTATACCTGTAGGTGTTAAAATAGAAATTATAATCACAATCGAAAGAAAACTGTCCGCTGCGTAAGTTACGATCTCCATAGTTGCCTGTAACATAATATGTTGGAATTGATATCGTATTGGAATATTCATAATCCCCGGAGGGCTGTGTAAATAAAAATTATTCTAAAAGGACAGCTGGGCGTCAGGTTACGCGTTCATTCGCCTTATTAACATTCAGCCGAATTCGGGCGGACTACAGGTGCAAGTCACTCGTCAAACTTACAAATATCATGACACTATCGCTAGTTGTAATCCTATTGCTAAGTAGCTGTAAAAAATAAACACCTTAGACTGATACGTGGACTAGAAATGTTCTGCGGTGTTACTTGTCTCCGTGACTCAATAGATACATTACCTATTAAAGTTCCAATTTCGGGAATACTTCGGTCGGAAAATCAGTGAAAATGGACACTAAAATATGTCCGATAATGTCTTTATTTCATATATTATCAAAATAATTAAATAATTATTTTCTATTTAAGAAGATTGTTTCAACGTAATACATTAATTCTTGTAGCCTTATTTTTTTGACGTCCTATTTATCTCATTAGAATTTCGAACGGACACTAATATATGTCTGGTCGTCTTTATGTCTTCTATATATTAATTAAAGTAGTCAAATATTTTCTTTTTAAGATGCAATTATTAATTAATTTTTGTAGTCTTATTTATTTGGGGTCTATTTATCCCGTTATAATTTCGAAAACGTTATAACGGCATAAAAACAATACTTCAGCTCTCTACGATCAACCATTTAGGCTGTACCTACATTGATCCGTCAGTCGCTTTGCAGCATTTTATATGTATAGTTCAACTTGAGCTATAAAATGTTAAGTGCGCAAAATGATTACAACTGATTTCGTATGCTACTGTTACGCATAAAAAACGTTTTAATTTATAAATGCTCGTCATATTTTTTGCACCTTAATTTATGTTAGTTGGTCGTAAAAATTTTGTTAAGTCAAGTACACCGTTAATCTTGATATTACGTGTCGTCAGGTTGCGTTAACTACTAACTGGGAACTGTTCCTCATTCTTTCATTTTGTTATTTGTGTCGTTAAAACTCAGCGATTTTTATAGTTCTTGTAAACCAGAGGTATAGATAATTTAATATACAAACACTGTCTGTATACGCGAGTACTATAGATTTAAATACAATACTTTAAACGGTTTAAAACGCGAAATATAACTTAACATTTTTACAATTTATTTTAACTACGTCCCGTAGTTTTGGAGGCTTTATAGCAGTCGTGGTCATGGGAGACAGCGAATACTACAAAACTAATATATTTCGCATTTTAAACCGTTAGAAATTTTTTAATTTAATATATTCTTTACGTTCATTGTTGTGTTAACCTTTTACGGTGATGTGTTATATTGAAGGTATTAAATAATTACAAATAAAATATATGGCCATATTACCTGCGCTGTTATTACAAATTGTTAAGCACGCTAGAGCGTCTAAGTGTCTCTATTTAATATATATGCTTAAGGATTTAAAATACATATTTCAATAAATTGAGTAAGGCTTTCACGGGCATCGATCAGAATTATTTCTTTCGACTGTTCCATAAGAAGAGGTTCTCACGTTTCGCCATCAATTCTTCGAGCAATCGAGGAGTCAACATCTCCTGAAGATCCTCCAAGTGATGGCGAAACTCCAGAACCTCTTCTCGCTCAATGGAACAGTCAAAACAATAATATACATATTTCAATATTTAGATACTTTTGGACGTACAGTCACTAAAAATATATTTATTTTACGCTTACGCTTATAATAATATCAAACCTTAGTAACATACCCATCGCAATCGGCTGTATTTTTTGGGGCAAGAATCCCTTTCAAAAGATCTTAACAAAGTCCTGACAAACGGTCTCCAGATATCTGGGTAAATCCCTCTGAAACGAGTTCGCCCCGGCTCTTCACGGAACCCTTATTATCAACCGGAGTGAAACTTTACATAGAGCCGTATATATACGATTTTACCCCCTAAGCATTCCATGGCTACATTAGTAGCGTTACAGTGCGGTAATTTTGACAGGCGCCCCATTAAACATGTTTAAGTTTCGTGGTTATTGCTTCGTGAATATAAATTATGAAGCTCCTAGGCTTGCGATCAACAGATAAATACAATTTTTGTCGCAACGATTCGAGCTCGACAACGCAACCAAATTCTCATAGTTGATTTTTTTCTAATAGAATGATTCTTTTCATTAATATCTCAATTGAACGTAACGAATATTATAAACTAGCTGTGTCAGCGACTTCGCCCGCGTAGAAAAGGGGGGGGGAAAGGGGTCCCCCCCCCCCCCCAAAAAAAAAGGGGCGGGGGGGGGGGGGGGGGGGGGGGGAAAAAAAAAAAAAGGGAAAGGCCGGGGGGGGGGGGGTTTTTTGGGGGGGGGGGGGGGGGGGGGGGCCCCCCCCCCCCCCCCCCCCCCCCCCCCCCCGGGGGGGGGGGGGGGGGGTTTTTTCACCCCAGTTTTTTAAAAAAAAAAACCCCCCCCGCGGAAAAACCCCAAAAAAAAAAAAAAAAAAAAAAAAAAAAATTTTTTCCCCCCCACCGCGGGGGGGCCCCCCCCCCCCCGGGGGGCCCCCGGAAACCCGGGTTTTTTATAAAAAGAAAACCTCCCGCGGAAACTATAGACAATATTTACCTATAGCCTTTTTCGATAAATGCTCTAACCATTACAAAAAGATTTTTTTATTCGAACCAGTAGTTCCAGAGATAGCGCGTTCAAACAAACAAACTCTTCAGCCCTACATATAAGTATAGATAGGTAAAGTAGCTCCCATGCTTAGAATCAATAGATAAATAGAATTTTTCGTCGCAACGACACTTGGAAGACGCTACCAAATTCTCATAGTTCAAGTATTCTAATGGAATGATTGATTTTATTAATTTCTCAATTGAACATAAAGAATATTATAAATTGAAATACCTTTGAATTTATCCCTCGGATTACAAGGAAGCGTTTGACTGTCACTAAACTCTTCTATCGCGTTATCGGCGACAGATCAAAATCCTTATAAATTATTCCAAATTCCGATGGCACGTTGTTTAGTGTACATTTAATTTTAAGCTTTATTTACATTAAACTTAAAGAACGCTTTCCTAAACAGATCTCGCCGAATATTCGTCTGAGTGATGTGTTGGTTGTTTTGTTGCTATTGACTTATCGGGTTCTTAGCTAACCGTTTTGTCAAGGTATCAAAAAGTTTGAGATTGTTATTAAGAAAGGAATAATCTTTACGTAAATCTACCTATATCTATTACGAATAAGATTAAGTTCGTACATCGTTCGTTCGTACGATCTTTGGTAACACGAGTGACACCAATGGAAATAAAAGTTTGATGAAATTTTAACATTACTTTCTTCAAACGGAATGGCTTCTTATTAAGCGAAAGTTAGTTAGTGACCTTCACAATTAAAAAAAACATTCAGTTGAAAGGAAAGAGTTAGTAACAAGACTAATATATTTATAACTTGTATTTTACGTGTTACAACGACCACCGTTGGCGATTTATTCTTTCTGCTGATTTATTATGTTCCTATGCAAGCGAAACCGCGTGTAAATGCTAGTAGGAATATAAGACGAATGGCCCTTTGGAGACTGACGGTGAATCCTTGTCAGATTAGCCTCAATTTTGTTGCTCCATTTTGGAGGAGAGATCACCGACTGAGTACAATACATGCTTTAACATGCCTGTCGGTTCCACGCTTACCTTGACAGGTTCCACGCTTTTTCGTGACTGATTCGGAACATCCGTACGTCTTGTGGATTTCAAACACATTACACTATTAATTTACTTTAAAAATATTCACCTGTTAGAATTTTGTTATTTATGTTATTGGACAATGGTTTCTTATATTCATTTAATCAGGGCGAAAATACTTATTTAAAGTAGGTACTTGCAGACTTCTTTTTCAATATAAAATATGAGAACCCAAACAAATTTGTACCATTAGCAACTATAGTACTGGAATAGAAGAAGTCGTTCAAAATATAGAGACGGGAATTGTATTTACTTTCAGTTACTGAGAGAGTTAAGTTCAGTGGCTTAAGATTTTACCTATATTCAGTTACGTAGCGAAAATATCTTAGGCAGGCTTGCACGGACGTGGTGAGTTTTTAAATGTGGCCGCGGTTTCGGCTGCGGTCGGCGTCGTGCGCGAGGCGTGTCCGCGCTTCATCGATCGCAGCCTCCGACGCTCCTCGACGACGTCTACCCCCGGAACCCACCCCCTCTTGCCCCCCACACCGCGCCTGTTATCGCCCCGACCGACTGCATTTACCACCCGCCACCCTCATCATATACCGAGCCGTCTGGAAACCTGACGTTACCATATTTTCAAACCCTGCAAAACTCATTGTTGTTTCCAACGGAAGCGCCGGGATATAAAAGTGGAATAATCGACGCCGTTTTATGTAGCTATTCGATGGAAGGTGTTGATTCGGATCGGGAGCCCTTCCTTGCTTGTGCGCAATTAAAGCAGTAACGTTACGAGACCTGTAAATGTTTGAGCTCATTAAAATGGAATTATGTTATAAAATTTATATGCTACATCGTTAACGAACTCGAATTAACGTTACTTTGTTCTGTTTATTGAGGAATGCGTGTACCTAAATGCCTGTGCGTTTAGTAAATGTTCAAGGAGGCGGTGATGAAATATATTATGAATTTTTTAAAGGCTTTTAACTTCTATAGGACGAGGCCGAGAAACAGCGATGCACAGATTCGATAGATGTAGCGTGAGTCTATATCCAATATTGTACAAAAATTGAATTGACGTAGGACCTAGGTTTAATTGTAGCATTAAATAATACTTCGTCAGTTTGTACTTTACGCGAGTAGTAGTACTATATAATACGCGAGATAGTTTATAATAGAAATACGTTTATTTAGAAACAACACCAGGTTTCCAATAAGAAACTTATTTAACAACATAATATACAAATATAATATTTATTAAGTCTGTAGTTTCAGCGAGTAGCAGACATTTAAATAAAACACATTTATCTACGGTTTAACGGTTCTCTCCACGTAACCACGACCGCTGCACTTTAACGGTTTAAAACGCAATATGTATTAGTTAAACTTAATTGAAAATTACTTTAACTACGGCCCGATGATAAGGATGCTTGGCATCAGCCGTGATCACGGGGAGAAGTCGGGCCGTAGTTATTACAACTAATGTTTTTCGTGTAATAAACCGTTAAAGTGTTTTATTTAAATGCGAGAATATTTCCACATTATTAAGAGACGAATGCTGTGATGGGAATAATTCTGTGAAATTGTATCCGACGGAATGCGACTCGTTGCGTGTTCCAAGAGCGGTGTGGCCAGAAACCGGGATGCAGGTTCTGTTGAAAGATGACGTGCGGAACATTCGATAGGGCAACATCGATCGCGATGATCTAGCGAGACGATATTACTTGCTCTTTTTATGCGGTTTAACTTTGAGGCTACATCTTGTAACGTTATATATATATATACGTATCCTTGTTATATATTGACCTTCTTGTTAATTGCCTTGAAGTTTGTATATGAGGATGCTAGAGCCAGGGTAGCCTAATAACGAAAAGATATGATTTTCAATAAGTAGGAAAAAAATGCACAATTTACTATTAACTAAGTCATTTTCGATCACTGTGCTCTTGTAGACTAACATTTTTAGACTATAAAATTAAAAATCAGTTAGGTGAATCTGGCTCTAGCGGCCTCATATAGTATAACATCAAATTGACATGTGCATTATACTCATTGCAAAAAAAAAGCTTAAAAGTAATTATCTGGTAACAATTTTATTTTTACCGCATCTTTGATGTTTTAAAGAAAAAAAAGAAAATGACGACACACGATAAAAAGTCATTGAAGTGTCTATATGTCAATCCCAAATTACTATGAAGATTTTGATGAAAACTTGTATTTGCTCAGAACCTGCCAGGCCAAGTCCATACCACACCACACAAAATACCTACAACACGCTATAACTCTGGCAGCAACCTCGTTTTGGAAACCATTTTTTAATAAAAGTACCTACAGCAGTGTTTTAATAGCTATTCTTTACGATCTAATTTGCTGATCGTACTTTATTTCAACGAGAACACAGTCGTTCTTCTGTTAATCAAGGCTTTACACTTGTATAATCACTTTATCAGATAATATTGGCGATCTAAATTAAATTTGTCGGGTGACCGGTCGAGGCGCCAGCGGCGGTGATCCATCATCAGTAATGGTCATAACGACCGCAGCCTCACAGCTCAACTCCTAGGGTTGTCAGAATTATTGAAATATAAAAAAGGCACCCTGCGGTGATTTTTCTTCCCCATTTAGTGAACGATTATATATAAACCTTGACTTAATACTTTTGGAAATTGTTTTTTTAACAGATCTCTTTGTCATACTAAGAACATAGACAGTGGTTTAGGCCGTACATCGATGCTTCGTAGGCAGTGTTTTGTATAAAATACTTAGGTCTTATATTTTTTTTCGACGTAATTTTACTAAAAACTAATAAACAAACTTAGTATTAACATATTCTCTAGAATACTAAAGTTTTTTGGAAAATCTTATTAATTAGTTTCCTTCATACGAAAAGGTTTTTAGAGGAAAATTATTATGGGAACTTATTTATAGATGTGTTACTATAGATATTAAGAGAATTTGTATTGTTGGATTATTGTTATAGGTTATATATTTTTTTCTTTAGTTGTATGTATAAGTGTGTAAAGAAGGTACTACATAATGTAGCTAAGGAATAGTAAAAGTTGCGTGTTCTAATTGTAATACTTGTAGTAATTTATTTTCCAATAACATGGGTATTTATACACGCTATTTATATGTGTTGTGGTCGTGCTACAGAGCCACACACGTGTGCCAGTACAATATGTTTTGATGACATCTCAGAATTAAGCAAACCAAGTCATCTAACGGGGTCAGGCTGTAGTTACTAAGTGCCTACTAGTGTATACACTGTAGCATATGTTGAGCCTGTTGCCAAGTCCCTGCCTTTTATCTTGTGTTTATTTTTTGTATTATACATAGTGAGCAGAGAAGAAACCTTTTTATTTATTCTTAGTATTTTATCGATTTATTATTAAAAGTGGCAACCCTACGTAGATCAAAAACCTCGCACGATCCATCACACGGTTGACAACCGTACATGTCGCTTTGTAGTTCTTTTGACGTAACCAACACTCGATTATGACGAATTCCTTTTTCTGTCCGCTTCGCTATCTGAAGTGGCTATTAGGTAATCTTTGTGTAAACAATAGTTCATTATGTTCGATCTACATCGAGATATGTAAATCTTTTAGGTCAGTTATTGATGAAAAACATGTGTCCGCTTAAGTAACGAGTAAATTAATGGAGTATTAGAAGCCAAGTAATTAAATTAAGACCAATTCAGCTAAATACTGTCTTTAGTTTACGCGAGTAGTACACATTTAAATAAAACACTTTAACGGTTTAAAACGCGATACATTAGTAGTCACGGGGAGACTGAACACGGCTGCTGCAAAGCATCCGAAACGTCGGGCCGAAGTTAAAAATCATTTTCAAATAAGTTTAACTAATATATCGCATTTTAAACCGTTAAAGTGTTTTATTTATACTTATTTATCGGCCGTTAAACTATCCGTCGCTAGAAGTTTACAAGTGACATTTAACGTACGTTCTTTTTATGATAAAGGAAGACAGACATGCGCGAGGTACACTTGATGATAGGATATATACCCCAGCTTATAGCATCCTAAAAGATAGGTTGTCAACCTATTTTGGCTTTGGATATTCGGAATTCCACAGACTGAAACCGAAACGCGATTAAGTTTCACGGCTTTTTCATCTGTAGACGGTGGTGCATGACCCGGATGGAATTTTTAAATTACCTCCTATGTAATATCCAGATTTCCATATGAAGTCCAACATGTTTCAGAAAAATTAGAAACGTGTAGGATGGGGTGGGATCGAATCCACGACCCGTTGATTTTTACCCATACATTGCTACCATGTATATTTTTAATCGATGTCATTTGATCGTTAAGGAGTGGTGGCGAGTTTCATACCAGTTCTTTTTGTTTGTTTATATGTTTGATTTGATTTATTTTTATACATTAGATTTGCAGTCTTTTGTTTTTCAATATATCGTTTTTCCTGAAGGTACACCTACATAAAACAATGATTTTGGAATTTGACGTTATTTATTGGTAAATTAAGCCTTAGTACAAACTGCCGCGTCTCGAAAAAAGTCAGAAGCTCGTAACAGTGTAGGGAATATAATTTTTTCTGCACCTGCGTGTGTTCGCTGTCATGCTAGCGATACGCTCTATCGGCTGTTATGACGATTTTATGGTTGAATCGGTTTAAACTAAACGATAAATTGTAATCTATGAATATACATGTTTATTTATTAATATTGTTATGGCTATTCTTTATTTTTAGAGAAACACACAAGCATTAATAATACTTTCTTTTAACAAGATTCGATAAGAGATCCGTACAAGTAAGTTCTTTGACTTTTTAGTAGCGTAAGCTTTTTCTCTGTTTGTAACTGTTTAATTGTAATTGTAACTACTAGGTTAGTATTTTTAGTTTTGACCGGATCTAGAAATCTGGATATTAAATGCGTGGTAGGAATATCGAATTTTCGTCCGCGTCACTAACCACCGTCCACAGATGAAAAAGCCGTGAAGTTTAATCACGTTTCGGTTTCAGTCTGCGGATTTCCCGATTTCTGGATATCCAAAACCAAAATAGGCCGACAGCGCATCTTGTTTAGATGCTATAAGCTGCCTTTATCATTAAAAAAGTATTGGAAGTCGTTCGTAAGTGGGCATAGTCTCTTCAAACTCTCTTATGCAAGCGGAGAGCCCAGCAAGGCAAAATACGTTGAAACGGTAGCAATTACGATTATTTAAGACGCAATACGTGAAATTAAAAAGGAGAAACAATTATTTAAGTTATGCAATTTCGCAATAAACGTTGACGCTAATGCACTTATAATTGCGCATGATATTATTATAGCGGCCATTATCTTTGATGTGATAATTGAAGCGTCGACATCGGACCAGATAATATTATGTTCGCATTTTGCTTACGCTCCCCGTAACTTTATTTTTTATTGTTTCTTATTATTTCGGATGTAGGAACGAAACTGTCTTTTACGTCCGATTTAAGCGAAATTTGAATTTAAAATTGGTGCACCAAAGTTTAACAAATAGATATAATATTTTATTGATCTTTTTGCTGCGTTTGGTATCAACGTGTTAAGTTGGAATACTTCGTGAAACTATTTACTTATTTAATTATTAAGTTATGTATTAAAAAAAAACTAACTATAGCCAGTTATATTATTTGGATAGTAGTACAAAAAGTTAAACAATTATACTTAAATATTTGTT